CTTTTCTGGTTACCAGGGAAGGGAGAGAAGGGAGAGGAATTCACTGGCTAGAGGGTAGACACATGTTAGCTCAGGTGATAGGGAAGGCAAGATACAAGAAGAGGGATGGTGGTAAAAGAATGATGAAGATAGGCAAGGACATAGGGAAGTATGCATGGGCTAAAGGGAATAGAAGTAAATAGTGATATGTACACAACCTGGGAACAACAGTATTCAGCATACATGAATGGAGACCTAGGCTGAATGGGCAAGGGAATATGAGACTATATGTGCTTGAAAGAGGATATTTGTACATGGGTATTTACTTTTACCATAAACACAGCTATGAATGTGGTGGAGCATACAGAAGGCAAAATGATGAAAACTTCTCAGATACCATCAAACAAATATCTTAATGCATTGAGTTTCTAAGCCTGGGGTTTCAAGAGCATAGTCTCAGGAGACACCATCGTCAACTGGCATAATGTAGTACATAAAGACAACGTTGTACATCCTACTTTGGTGAGTAGTATCTGGGATCTTGAAAGCTCATGAGTGGCTGCCTAAAGTAGAACTATTAGTCTCTCCATGTGTGGAAGAAAAAAGAGTCATAAAATTGAAGAGGCTTGAAATCACTCAGTCCAATGAACTAATAGAACATACATGCATCAGTCTCCACATCTCTGAGACCAAAATAACTAGACTGTGTCTGGATACCACTGGCAACGGCTCTGAGAAGGAGCATATCAGAAGGTCCTAGGTAAAGTGGGAGAAAATGTGTAACAAGACTCAAGAGTTATTAAAAAGAAAGAAAGAAAAAAGACTGCTTTATTGATCAGAAATAGACTGAAGGAACTTGAGAATATAGCCCTTGCCACCCTTCAGGTCTGGAAAGGAATGCACCCTGGTAGCTCAGTTTTCAGTAAAGTAGTAGAGAGTATACGGTGGTGGTGGTGGTTATGTGCTATGAAGTCGGTTCCAACTCATAGAGACCATATATTAGGTTTCCGAGGCTGTAAATCTTTACAGGAGCAGAAAGCCTCATCTTTCTCCTGTGGAACCACTGGTATAGTTCTGAACTGCTAATCTTGAGATTATAGGACCAACTTCACTACCAAATCTCCTTAGAGAGATATATAGAGGGGACAACAATACTCTTAAGGTATGCTCACCAAGGAAAGGTCATTCAAAATCAAATGGGCAATGTTTTCCCAAGGACAAAGTTGAGAAGGGCTGGAGAAGGTGGGTGGAATGCAAGTAAGAACCATAAGAAAGAACTGTTGTTCTATGGAGAGAATTCAAATCATTAAGATGAACCAAATGGTATGGTTTGTTGAATGAAAACTGATTATCTTGAAAAAACAAAGAACTTGGCAACTATGTAATACTGTCATCATCATTGTGTGATCTGATGTGGTCATCCTCCATTTTCACATAACATTGATTTTCACATAATGACCTGGTTTGGAACTTAGCCATGCTGATTAGTGAGGAATGAGTATATTTGAAGCATCAGAATAACTAAATTATAGTATGACTACAAAACAAAAACAAAAACAAAACAACAAACTGATTATCTTGTCTGTAAACCTTCACTCAATTTACAATAAGAAGTTTTTAAAAATAAAAGAAAGATCATGTTTGAGGAGACATCTTGCACAGAGCTTCAACCAGTAAAAACTATATTTAAAACAAATAAAAATAATAACAATAACAAAACACCATAGACAAGATGAAGCATATATCTATGAATAATTATGAACCTTGCTATTAGAACAGGATGGTCTAGATAGGTAGTAGAGCAGGACAAGAATAGCTGGGCCAAACAGCAGAGAATGGATATAACTTGGACAAAAGCACAGGAGCAGTCTGGACAGGGTTAGAGTATAGGCAACCCTTCAGTGTGCCGCTATGTTTGGTTGGTGGTTGCTTATGTGCTGTGGAGTTGGTTCTGACTCATTGCGACTCTATACAGGGTTTCCAAGGCTGTAAATGTTTATGGGAGCAGAAAGCCTGCTAACCTTACAGTTCGCAGCCCAATTTGTAACCACTATGCTCCTCGGGAGAAAGATGAGTCTTTCTGCTCTCATAGAGATTTACAGCCTCGGAAACCCTGTACAGGGTCGCTATGAGTGGGAACCAACTCCACGGCACATAACAACAACAATGCTAGGAATTATCAAGAAATATCAGAATGGTAAAATTGGCTGTTGACAGTTTATGGTAAAGAAGGATACTTGGGTTAACTTCAAGGCCCAAAGGCAATGTTCTATTTCAGGATGTGGGTTTCTGCAACCTCCAATGAGCTAGCTCTTGGTTTGGGTAAGGCTAGAGAACTTTTACATGGATTGCATAGACAATTCTCCAGGCCAAGCCCATTATCATTGTTCCCTTTGGGAGGACTATATGGGTTGCACCTGATAAGATAACTCCATGAGGAATGTGATGGATTCCACAAGCCTGATTTAGGTCCAGAATTTGGACTTAACTCTGCTGGCGACAGTGAGGTCTGCTTGGGGAAAGTGCAATTCGTACCCTATTATCTCCTGGATGACAGTGATTACATCTTCATTCTCTAAAACATCAGAGCAGTTCTGTCTTGAATATTTAAACACTTGGAAAGTATCTTGTAGACTAGCCACATAATGCTGATTTTCTTGAAAATACCTCTATCAACAGTAAAACTCTGCACAACTTCCTCAAGTGCAATCTAAATCCTTGTTGGGTCCCAAGTTCTTCAAGGAGTGCCACCACCAGGTGCACTCAATGTGTTCCTTCCCAACAGGGGAGCAGTGTTGAGAGAGTCCAGAGATCAGGACCCCTTTCTTATGGGCTTGGAACCTCAAGGGGTCACATGGCTGAGAGGCCAGAGACAAGAGTGAGGCATACCTGCAATATGGCAGAGAAGAAGCTGGAGAACTGCTGTATCCTGAGTTGTTCCTTACCCTTAAATGTACCCTGTTCACTTTCCTAATAAATCCCATAATCATGAGTATTGTCTGTGAGTTCTGTGTGATCATTGCAATGGATTATCAAACCCTGATGTGAAGCAGAGAGTGCTGTGAGAGAGATGATTGGTGTCAGCAGAGGATAAAGAATATTGTAGGGTAGAATGTGTCTGACTTCTGTCTCTTAGGAATAGCCTTGGGCTGATTTTGAGTTTGATTCTCCATCCCCCTTATGAAGCCAGTGGAAATCAGATATATCCCATGCCCATGCCATTTCTGCAGCCACATTGCTAGTACTGAGTGAAATCAGTAAACACATGTGATGAATCAGTGATGTATAAGTCAACGAGGCACCTACTCAGCTATGCAAGATAGTCATCAGGTTGGGGCAAGGTACATACTCACTGTGAAGGCCTTTACTAATTCTGGAGAAACCGGACATCTCTGCTGATCTGTTTGACAGTAATAAAGAACACATCCTATACAGCCCCAAGACCTCCCACCTATGCCTCTTCTGATTAATACTGTCCCTCTCATTACTTGTAGGACAGCTAGTGAGACTGTGCTGCTAGACTGTGTTTCTGAGGGGCAGGTTGCACATCTCTTAAATCCTTATTCCAAGGGGCATGTTGTTTACTCCCAACTGAGTTTACATGGAGGTAATGCAACTACAGTACTTGGCTGATGTGGATCAATGCCTATTTTGTTCCCTGGCATCCTTATTCTATATTTTCTTGATCTACATCTTATCCTACACACACACATTTGTTTTTTATATCCCATTGTTTCTGTCCTCTAAGTAAAACATCCTGTTATTGACCTCATCACCTTGCTTTGTGAGTTCTTATGTATTCTTTGTCCTACCCATTAAATTTAAGCATCTTCAAGACAGGGCAGTATCATAATTTCTGTATGTTTTATACCTAACACAGGTTTTGGAACTCAGAAATTACTCAATAAATAAAATAAAGTTTTAATGCTCTATGATAAACTTTATTATTATGAATCACTTTTTGTTTTTGTCAATAACAATAACACCAACAACTGAAAGTTAACCTTTAATCTATGCCATACCACATTTGGAGGATCTATTCTTTGTATTTAGGAGTATCATATCATTTTAAAGATGGGGACATTGAGGTTCAGATCACTGTTATAAGAAGGGATTCAAACAGGACACTGACTTGCATAAAGCTGATGTTCTTTTCCTAGACTATGCAGCAATCACATAGAGAAAGGTGGGCTAAATATCTAAACCTGCCCATATCATTGGCAATAATTGGACTTAGGATAAATGCACAAAACTTTATGGGGTCTCAAGCACTATCTGCTCTGACCCCTGTGCCACTGTGCTTCCCAGTTCATGCGATTCCAGTGCCATTGTTGTTCTTCCACTTAATTGATAACATCTGGCTCTTCCTTGACAAAGAACCTTCGTACATGCTCGTCTCTGAATCAAAACACTCCTTCCCCAACTACTTTAGCACATACTCTTCCTTTTTTATATCTCAATTTTATGGTTAGTTCCCCAGAGAAGGCCATCTGAGCCCCCAAAGTTAAATTATTATTCCAGTATAATCTCTCATTGCATCCTTATTTTCCTTGTGGAGTACTTATCACATGTTATAGTTACCTATTAATATGTGAGGGCCTTTAATGGATCTCTTTCTTCCTTAAGGATGTATTTTCAGAGCCAGGCTTAACTCTGTTGTGTTTATGTTTGTGCATTCAGGGTCTGAAGTATCAATATCTACTTACTGAGTGTATGTATGAACAGATGTCTGAATGGATAGGCTGCCTTATTTCTTTAGCTCCTGATCACATGAATCCAAATCCTACATGCAAGTAGACTGAACCATTGATGACGTACTGATGACTTAGGCAATCTTTAACTGAGGCCAGTGATCTTCCTGGTCCCTTAGACTAAGACCCTTGTGGTTCTTTATTTCAGGTTCAAGGTAGATTATTGACTTAGGTGATCTAGAACTCAAACAAAGGCCCTTCTGATTCTTTGGATCCTGCTCAAAGAGAATTCCAATCTACTGTGAAAATAAATAAAATGTTTTGTTTTACCTGCACATGATCTTTGTATAAAGATGCATATAGTTCTTGTCCTTTTCTTCTGTAGTTCTCTATACATGACACAAAATCCTGGAGAAAAGAAAAAACAAATGGCAACTTAATGATAGTGCAATTCTTGATGAGAACTTCTCTACACTTATAAATTTCCAGTGGGGAAATAATGATTATAGGGTTTGTCAGTTAAACCAATTACAATAAAGTAACTAAAGCCTTCAACGATGATAACACATTCACATATGCACACTCACATATATGTTCATGGAGTGCCTCCATTTCCAGTTATGATGAATTAGCTAGTAACAGACCAACATTCCTGTGAAAAATAACTAGAAAAGTTAGGTATAAGTAAACTGTTTAAGAAAGCAGAGAGCTACCAAAGTGGTTTTTTTTGGTTTTGTTTTTTTTTTAAAGTGAGGAGCTAAAATTCTGGAGAGAAAGGAAACTTTCTGAAGTGTGCCAAATGTGTTTTGCCTCTTCACACTTGAAATAGTTTCAATTTTCAAACTAGCATAAGCTGAAAATCTGGGTGAAAAGAGGCAGAGAAGCTTAACAGAGCTGTGAAAAATTTCAGATGGCTGGGAAGGTACAAACTGAGGTTTAGAATTGCCACAACATCTAATCCCATAAATAAGGTAATGCCAAAAAGTAAGTCCTGTCTTCTGCCCTGATGATTCCCTTTATTGCAATTGATCCAATAAGCCATATGAGACTTTGATGTTGTTAAGTACCATCAAGTCTGTTCTGACCCATAGCTGAGAAACTATGCAACTTCCAGAAGTCTCAGTGTGTAGAAACCAATAGAAGGGGACTTTTAAAGTAAAATCTATGAAGACAGGCATAAAGGCAGACTGGGGTAAACCCAGTTTATTTCATTTATTTCAAAAACAAAACCCCATCTGTAATAAGTTGATTATTGCATTAAGGTGATTTCCCCCTAATCTATGTACATATCTGAAGACAAAGTTTTTTATTGAAGAAATACCATTTGCAGCCCCTAATCTAAAGTTTTCATAATAATGTTCACCAGTGAAACTGAAAAAAACAAAACCCAAAACATTTATGTTACTACTACTAATAGAAAGCTCTGGTAGTGTAGTGGTTACGAATCGGGCTGAGAACCTTAATGTCAGAAGTTTGAAACTACCAGCCGCTTCGCGGGAGAAAGATGAGGCTTTCTACACCTGTCAAGATTTACAGCCTTGGAAACCCTGTACAGGGTTGCTATGGGTTGGAATCGACTAGACGGCACTTAACAACAACAACTACTACTACTTTAAAAAAAAACAAAAACTACTATAAAAATGACACAACTATTCCTCCCACAGCACTTTCTACTGTTCTTCTGGGTTTCATGATGCATTTTCATGACCATAAAGAACACTGTCCCACACTCCCAGGTATGGGGTTTACTAAGGAAGTTAGCAGGTTACAATTCAGGGTCAGAAATGCTCAGGGCACAATTCTTCCAGTCAGGACATTCCATAAACTATTGACCCTACACAATATGAAATCATCTAATAATGTCATTAATAGTATGTTCAAGTAAAATTTTGCTGAAGATAATTCAAAAACATAAGCAGCAGTACAGGGAGCTGCAAAAAATTCAAAATGAATTCAGAACAGGATCTGAAATAAGGGATACCACTGGTGACTTCAGATGGGTCTTAACTACAAACAGAGAATACGGAAAAGATGTTTTCCTGTATTTTATTGGCTTCAACAAGATGTGGATAACATTATGAAGAATGTGTATTCCAGAAACTTAGTAGTGCTCATGAGGAACTTGTACACAGACGAAGAGACAAGGAATACTGAATGGCTTAAAATCAGGAAATGTGTGTGTCAGTTTTGTATCCTTTCACCATACTTATTCAGTCTGTAACCCAATACAGGGTCCCTATGAGTCAGTACCAACTTGAGGGCACTTAGCAACACAAATAATGTGCTGAGAAAATAATCCAAGAAGCTGGCTATATATAGAAGAATGGGGCATCAAGATAGGAGGAAGGGTCATTATGAGTCAGAACTGATTATGCAGCACCAAACAACAGAACAATAACTATAGATTACAACCTATACATATTCTTTGTTGTCAACTAATGGTGTGGAGCTGAAGGATCAGCATTGGACTGCAAACCACAAAGCCAACAGTTCAAACCTACTAGCTGCTGCCTGGAAACCCTACACAGGATTGCTATGAGTCAGAACTGATTCAATGGCACTTAAGGACAGCAATGTAAATCCATTCCTTTACCAAACTGCATTTAAATTGACTTAGAACACTTTATCTTATTTATACCTTTCACCTTTTGTTATTTTTTCATTTAATTCTTCATATACTTAAACCCTGTTAGATGATATTATTATTGTTGTCTTTGCTATTTTTATCAGTCAAAATTCATGTCAATTTCCTAAGAGAATTATACTTTGTCTATCTTTTCATTTATTTCAAATATGCACTCATTTTCATTTTACCTAAAAAAACTCCTACTATTTTGTTAAGTGAATTTCTGCTGGTGATTCATTCTCTTGGTTTTATTGACCTGAGAATGTTTAATTTTATCTGTATTTTTGAAGGAAATTTTCAAATAATAGATAATTTGACATTGCTGGCTATTTTCTTTCAGCACTTGAGAGATTCTCTTCTGACTTCTATTGTTTCCTAATTTAAAATCATTCAATGTTCCCTTGTTTCATTCTAACAGGTGCCTCATGCTCACAATTAAGTAGAGTTCTGGAATATCCATTCTTTGAAATTGGATATTCAAAGACAATGAAATGACAAGCTACGGATAACAAGCTTTGCTATCCATAGCTTGTCATGATTCACACAGTTGAAAGTGTTTGCATTGTCAATAAAGCACAGATAAACATCTTTCTGGTATTCTCTGCATTCAGCCAAGATCCATCTGATGTCAGCAATGATATCCATCATTCTAAGTCTTCATCTGAATCTGACTTGAACCTCCAGCAGTTAATGTATTGTTGTAGCCATTTAAAAATGATCTTTAGCAAAATTTCACTTTTATGTGATATTAATGATACTGTCTGATAATTTCTGCATTTTGTTGGGTCACCTTTTTTAGGCATTGGTACAAATATGAATATCTTCCAATCAGTTGACTATGTAGCTATCTTCCAAATTACTTGCCATAGATATATAACTGCCTCCAGTACTACATCAGTTTGTCAATAGATGCCATCAATTCCCGGAGGCTTGTTTTTGTCAGTGCCTTCAGTGCACCTTGAACTTCTATCATGTAATCTCCAGTATAATTTCTATCATCAAGCCATATTTTCCACCTACTTACCCTTCCTCTTTGTTCCCAACCTTTGCATTGAATCACCAGTAATTATTAATATATGTTGGTTATATGTTTGATCAATTTCAGACTGAAGTTGGTGGAATTATTCACTTTCATTCATTATTGATTTTAGTGGTTGGGTTGTCAATATGAATAATAGTGGTATTAACTGGTCTTCCTTGTAGGTGTATAGATATTTTCCTATCACAGACAACATTATACTTCCAGACATATCTTGAAATGTTCTTTTGGATGATGAATGCAGCGCCATTCCTTATCAATTTGTCAATCCTGGCATAGTAAAGCATGTGATTTTCAGAATCAAAAAGTCCAATACCAGTCCATTTCAGCTCACTAATGCCTAGGAAATTGATGTTTATGTATTCTCTTTTATTTTTTCATTTTCTAATTTTCCTAGATTTGCACTTTGTTGATTCCATGTTCCGACTATTAATGGATGTGTACAGCTGCTTCTCTTCATTTTGAGTTGTGCCCTGTCAACAAACAAAGCTCCCAAATGCTTTATTCCATTCGCATCATCCAGGTCAACTATACTTTGAGGCGGTGGCTCTTCCCCAGTCATATTTTGAGTGGCTTCCAACCTGAGGACTTCATCTTCTGGCACTATAGCTGACAATTCTGGTGCTTTTCATCATGTTTCAATATTCATTATTCTGGTACTATGGTGTAGCACTGTAGGATAAGAACTGGACAGCAGGGTTGGTTTGAACTGCAAAATCGTGGTTCAAACTCACCAGCCATTCCTTGGAAATTCTATGTTGTTGTTGTTAAGTGCAGTTGAATTGATTCTGACCCAAAGCAACCATGTACAGAGTTTCTGAGGAGCAGCTAGTGGGTTTGAACCACCCACCTTGGGGTTTGCAGTCCAGTGCTGATCATACAGTGCCATGCCAGGAATCCTATACAGGGTCACTATGGGTTGGAACTGACTTGATGGGACTTAACAAAAACAACATCTGACAGTGTTTCACTGTTATTCATAAGATTTTCAGTGGTTAAACATTAGTCCTCTTCTCCTTTTTCCTAGTCTGTCATAATCTAGAAGATAATTTGAAACCTCTCCACCACGGGTGACATTTCTATTATTTAAAATACTGGTGATACAGCTTCCAGAGTCCTGGTGCAGTGTTGTGGATGAATGTGCTGGACTGCAAGGTTGATCTGAACTATAATGTCAATGGTTCAAATTTACCAGCCACTCCTCAGAAACTCTGTACAAGGTTGCTATGAGTTGGAACCCACTTGATGGCACTTAACAATAACAACATAGCTTCTAGCATCATAGCAACATGCAAGCCATCACAGTATGACAAACTGACAACCAGTGGTGGCAGGTGAGATATACTCAAGGTCATATTTCAAGTCTCGTGGACCTGTTTAATTTTCTTCAGCTTCAGCCTGAACTTGCATATGAGCAATTGATGGTCTGTTCCAGATGGGGCCCTGGCCTTTTTTTTGGCTGATGTTAATGAGCTTCTTCATCACCTTTTCACACATATGTAGTTAATATGATTCCTGTGTATTCTATGTGGTGATTTCCACATGCATAGTTACCATTTATGCTGCTGAAAAACTATTTGCAATGAATAAGTTGTTGTTTTTGAAAAATTCTATCACTGTCTCCAACATCATACTTCATACATTTCATATTCTCTTTATTAATGGAAGTTTGCAGTTGGTTCTCCTCAATTTCATTGGTGACCCCTCATTAAATAAAGGTCCTGAAAGCTTTGCTCCACCTAT